GGGAAAGGAGAGTGGGGACTAGGTGGAGGCGGGCAAAGTGAGGGCAAACGGGGATGGAAAGAGACTTTGCTTGGAGCAATGAGCCCACGATGCAGTGTGCAGATGATGTTTTATTGAGTTGTACACTTGAAACCTGTATGGTTTTGCAAACCAATGTCACTCCAATAAATTAAATTTAAAAATAAAACTTTAGGGTGCTGTGCGGGGGAGGATTTGAGCTGGATTTTTTTTTTTAATTTTTTTAAATCTTCACCCAAGGATATTTTTTTGTTTTGATTTAGATTGAGGAAGGGAGAGAGACAGAGACAAATATCAATTTGTTGCCTCCAGCACATGCCCCAACCGGGGATAGAACCCCCAACCTAGGTATGTGCCCTGACCAGGAATCGAATCTGCCACCTGTCTGTATAGGTTGATGCTCCAATCAACTGAGCCACACGGGCCAGGGCAATGAACTGAAGCCAATCAAGTTATCTTTCCTTGAGGGTTATAAATGTGGGTTATAAACGTGATTTGTGTTGAGGGACCCCACTGGTGCACAAGTCCATGCACCAGGGCTCCAACACTCCCGAGGGGTCCTGGATTGTGAGAAGGCACAATCTGTGCACCAGGCTTCTAGTCCTATCTAATAATAGACAAACATGGTAATTGACCATACCTTCGCTACACCTCCCATTGGCTAGTCAGCATGATATGCAAATTAACTGCCAACAAAGATGGCGGTTAATTTGCATACATAGGCTCCAAGCGGTGGAGCGAAGCCTGACGTTTCTGGGGCCGGTGGAGCAGCGAGGCCTCACGGCCCCGGGGCCGGAAGAGCAGTGAGGCCTGACGTTTCCGGGGCCGGCTCCGGCCAGAGCGAAGGCCTGGGCCCCGGGTGCTGGAGGCAAACCGGTGCCAGCAGCCAGGGGAAAGGAAGGCCTATTGCACAAATCTCTTCATGCAACAGGCCTCTAGTATACATATAAGATCTTTGGTTAATCTCTTCCCACCCTCCACCCTTTCCTCTGAGATTCATCAGTCTGTTCCATGTTTCCATGCCTGTGGTTTCCGCTCCTGTGTTGAGCATCTGCCCTCTGGTGGTCATTGTGCATCATAGCTACTGGATGGTTGCCTGGTCGGCAGTTCGCTTATGCTTTTATATATATAGACTTTGCCTAAGGCCATACTTAGGTACTCACTCATATTAGTACCTCTAAAATTAGGATGCTTTCAACTAAGAAAAGCTCCTATTCAAACAGTTCTGACTTGAGCAAGTTATTAATCTTTCTAACCTTCTGCCCTTCATCTGAAAATGAGGATAGGACTTATATCTTAAAGGAATTATGTGAGAAATGGATGAGAAAATGCACCCAATGGGCTTAGCACAGTGACTGTCCTGTAATGCTCAGTGTTACTGTTCTTAGGGATTCCAGAACCTAAATGTGGTTCTGGTTCAGTGGGACCAGCTCATCATGGGTTTAACAGGAGTGCCCATCACCTGCCAGCTACTATGCTGATAAGATCTTTGTGTGAACATTTATCTCATGAAATCCTTATAACAATTTTTTGTTTTGTTTTTTAATTATTGTTTTGATTTCAGAGGGAGAGGGAGATGGAAACATCAATGATTAGAGAGAATCATTGATCAGCTGCCTCCTGCACACCCCTTACTGGGAATCAAGCCGGCAACCCGGGCATGTGCCCTTGACTGGAAGTGAACCCGGGGCCCTTCAATTCGCAGGCTGATGCTCTATCCACTGAGTCAAACCAGCTAGGGCTTATCACAATTTTTTGAGTTAGAGATGAATTACCTTTATTTTACAGATGAGGAAAATAAGGTCTGCAGGTAACTTAGCCAAGGTATCACATGCTAATAGATAATGCATTAAAAATTTAAAGCCGAAAATCTTTTTAAAACATATTTTTATTGATTTCAGTTTTGTGCAGTGTCAATATTGTAGCCAATGAGTTTTATCTGAGGCATGATTATTGCTAATTGAAAAAAGCATATATGTGTGTGTGTGTATATATATATTGATTTCAGAGAGGAAAGGAGAAAGGAGAGGGAGAGAGATAGAAACATCAATGAGAGATAATCATTGATCGGCTGCCTCCTGCACGCCCCTTACTGGGGATCAAGCCCGCAACCTGGGCATGTGCTCAAACCGTGATCTCCTCGTTCATAGGTTGATGCTCAACCACTGAGCCACGCTGGACAGGTTAAAGTTGAAAGTCTTAGTGGAATAACAGATAATTTCTAGAGAGTACACTGTGGGAGAGAGATTTTACTTTTTTAAATATTCTTCTGTATCTATTTGAACGATTTTTTAAAACCATTTTTATGTATGATTTTCTGTTTTAATTATTGGCTAATAATCTCACCAATATACACTGGCCCCGCCAAAAATACTAGCTAAGAAAAATAGAAACCACATATCACATTTTTTTTAGTGGTTTTTAATTTTATTAGGGGAAGAAAAGGCTAACCACATTCTTGCAACTTTTCACACAAAGTTCTCAAATAGCTGTGCTAAGTTACCTCCCCAGTTGCTTTTGTTTCTTTCCTCCCCACCACAAACATCAAGTTTACAAGGCTCTATAAGCCATCTATTGCCCATTTTCCTCCACTTACCAATTCTCTTACCTTTTGATCAGTATTTTACACTTTTTTGTTTTGTTTTGTTAATCCTCACCTGAGTATTTTTTTCCGTTGATTTTTAGAGAGAGTGGAAGAGTGGGGGGAAAACAGAAACATCTGTGCTAGAGAGACACATTGATTTGTTCCTTCCCACACCCCGACTGGGTGGGGATTGAGCCTGCAACTGACCTGAATCAAACCCAAGACCCCTCAGTCGCAGGCTGATGCTCCAATCACTGAGCCAAACCAACTAAGGCAGTATTTTACACACATTTTAAAAAACCAATTCTAGGCATTGAAGCATGCTACAACTAAAAACGAGTGCCTAATTCTATCTGCTTTAGCAAGACATTTTTGGGTTATAATCCCTTAACTAGAATATACAATTATTAAACAGAATACAACATTTTCAAGCAAAAATGTAAAGCAAATTCTAATAAATAAGCTCATCCTCACTTTCAAATCTTGTGAGGGCTCATCTTATTTTTTTTAAGAAAGAGAGAGTGCAAGGGATTGGGGGAGCAGGGGGGAGAGAGAGAGAGAGAGAGAGAGAGAGAGAGAGAGAGAGAGAGAGAGAGAGAGAGAGAAAGAGAGATTGATTGGTTGCCTCCTGCACATGCCCAACCAGGGAATAGATCTGCAACTGAGGTATGTGCCCTCTTCAGTCTACAAACCGACGCTCTATCCACTTGAGCCTATCAGCTAGGGCAGGCTCATTTTATGTTCAAACACTCTGCTGTTTGTTTCTTTCAGGAGTCTACGAACTTTTTTTTTTTTTTTAATATATTTTATTGATTTTTTTACAGAGAGGAAGGGAAAGGGATAGAGAATTAGAAACATCGATGAGAGAGAAACATTGATCAGCTGCCTCCTGCACATCCCCCACTGGGGATGTGCCCGCAACCCAGGTACATGCCCATGACCGGAATCGAACCTGGGACCCTTCAGTCCGCAGGCCGACGCTTCATCCACTGAGCCAAACCGGTTAGGGCAGTCTACAAACTTTTTATTGAAGAGCCAGATAGCAAATATTGTAGGCTTCTCGAACTAAGGGGCAAAATTGGAGACTAATATAACCATTCTAAATGGAATTACGTAAAAATGTAGAAAACATTCTTAGCTCACAAGCAGCTGGCCAAATTTGACTCATGAGCTAGTTTGCTGATAGCTGGTCTACTTGCTACATTCCCTCCCTTTCTTGCATCATCTGCAAGTATGATGTAATGGCTTTTTCTCAAAAAAGAAGTGATACTTTCCCTTTCTAATGTCAGACTGTCATAACTCATTAGTTACTTGCACTGTGACACAAATACAGCTACACAGTTGTTTATGCAGAATATTTTATTTATGTATTTGATATCTGTACAGATGTCTCTGTCCTTATCTCTATATTTGTCTCTGTGTTCTTACTGACCAGCATTAATTCCTCAGGGATAAGACCTGTATCTGTTGAGCTCTGTACCCCCTTAGCAAAGTATAAGCATCAAATGGACATCTGACACATTTCAATGATAAAACAGAAAACAATCAAACATAAGTCAACAAGAGATAAGAAAAAAGCATGGAAACATACAAAAATTCTGTTAGAATTAAACTATCCATAATTTGTAAAATCTACGTCTTTAAGTTTATACATGAGATTATATCCATTTTCCTACTTAAAGAAAAAGTAGGAAAATTGCAACAAATCATAAAAATAAAAATGCAAAGTCAAGGTAACAAATATTTTTGGCTCTTGAACTAAAAAAAGAATCATCAGTGAGGAAAAACGAGAAGTGAAGAGAAATTATAGAGATCATACCACTGATGTTCTCTTCATATTAAAAAAAAAAAAAGGCTTTTTAATCTTATTTGGATTGATTGGAAATAAGCAGTGATGACCTTTTCATATATATATATTTTTTATTATTGATTTTTTTTTACAGAGAGGAAGGGAGAGGGATAGAGAGTTAGAAATATCGATGAGAGAGAAACATCGATAAGCTGCCTCCTCCACACCCCCTACCGGGGATGTGCCCACAACCAAGGTACATGCCCTTGACCAGAATCGAACCTGGGACCCTTCAGTCCGTAGGCCGACGCTCTAGCCACTGAGCCAAACCAGTTAGGGCAGTGATGACCTTTTGGGGCTTAAAAATCAATGACACAGCTCATTAGACAAAAGGATTATTTCTAACACAGAAGCACAGGAAAAATATTAGAAGCATAATAAAAAGAAAAAGCACAAAAGGCCCCATTCTGCCCATTGCATCTTCCTCCTAAGAAACGGTCATCGAGACAAACGGTCTGGAAAGCACTTTCCCCAGTGAAGCCAGAACCTCTAAGTCTCCACAACACTGTCGGAAAGGTTAACCGGGTTGCCCAGTAATTAGCATAGCAATTTTATGATTTAAAATACATATTTAATGACAGGTCATCAAACCGATAATCAGAAAACCTGAAGAGTGCTTTCCCTTTATAATACATTAAAATGCTGCCTATGGGTATTTTGTAAAGTAAAAAGTGTTTGAAGTTTAATTTTTGTTTTACAAAAACCAACACCATTAAAGCCAACATGATCATTTGCCACTCACCCAACCACTGAGGTAACAATATTATAAAAATATGTAAAAAATATTCTAGATTCATAATTACTAGATATGCTGATTCCCACAGAGCTAATACAAATTGATTATTAAAAAAAATAGTTTTCTTTCCTTAAAAACACTTGGTTCATTTACCATTAAATATCAGGTAGATATTTGCTATCCTGAAGTACCAAAAAATTACAAATAAAAATGACAATGTTTAGACTCTGGGTTTCTTGTTAGGTGGATCCTGAAGACTAAACTTTGGGATTTCACCAGAAGGAGCATATGGAATTCTCTTTGAAGACACCTTTTTCCCAATTGTTTCAATCTAGAAAAAACAAGGGGGGGGGGGATTTTAGAAAGAAAACTAGCAAGTATAACACATAACTGTAAAAACTCTATATTGAAGTATAATAAGGGGAAAGCAGAAAATGTTTTCCAAGTTGTCTGAGTTGCTACGAGAGATCTTTGGTTCCTTGCCTATTTTTTATGTTTCTCAATCCCATGTATACTTCACTTTCATAGTCAGATCTAGATACTCCATATCTAGATACTCCAGCCAGTCCCAACAGCAGACATCCCCCCTACCCCCCCTCAAACAGAGCAGAGAATCATATGCTGCTTTTGTTATGGTAGCACATATGGAAGCAATTAAGACACTAGACTCCAGTTAATTCAAATTCTCTCTCATACTCTGTTTTCATGCCCACTTCCCTTATTCTAAAAAACTTGCAGAAGCTCTATTAGCATTGTCTTTGGGAGTTCAGGCTCTAGAGTTTGGAGGGCCCAGTTGGAATCCTACTACGTTACCTAAGCTCTCTAGGTTTTCCTTCCTTATTTATAAATGTTACCACTACCACCTGCCTCAAAGGGTTGTGGTAAGAATTAGCCCTAACCGGTTTGGCTCAGCGGATAGAGCATCGGCCTGCGGACTCAAGGGTCCCAGGTTCGATTCCGGTCAAGGGCATGTACCTTGGTTGCAGGCACATCCCCAGTGGGGGGTGTGCAGGAGGCAGCTGATCGATGTTTTGCTCTCATCCATGTTTCTAACTCCCTATCCCTATCCTTTCCTCTCTGTAAAAAATCAATAAAATATATTTAAAAGAAAAAAGAATTAGATTAAGTGCTCAACAATGTTTGGCATACAAGTCAACCTTCAATGAATAAAGTCAGATTGTATTTTGGATATTACATTTTAAACTCTTTTCCATATATTCAAAATCATCAATCTTAAGTTTAAAGACATTGCTTCTTTAATAGTCCTAAGTTTGCCCGGCCAGTGTGCCTCAATGGTTGAGCGTCGACCTGTGAACCAGGAGGTCATGGTGTGATTCCCGGTCAGGAATAAAAGACCTGGCCTCTGAGGGGTAAGTGTATGTTTTACTAGGCGCCCCGGCTGGTCTGGCTCGGTGGATAGAGCATCAGCCTGCAGACTGAAGGGTCCCAGATTTGATCCCAGTTGGGGGCACATGCCCGAGTTGCTGGCTCAATCCCCAGTGGGGGGCGTGCAGGAGACAGCTGATCGATAAGTCTCTCTTAGCATTGATGTTTCTGTCTGTCTCTCCCTCTCCCTTCCTCTCTGAAATCAATAAAAATATATTTAAAAATAAGTAAATAAAATAAAATGCTTACTAGGAAAAGTTAACTTATAAGAACTAGAACTCATTTGAAATAGATACCCTTTACACATCTTCTCCCTTACATGAGTTCAACAGGAATGAGAGAAAGTCTGTCTATGCCTTGCAAATAATCTTTAAAAAATAACACTGCTGAGTTCAGTAAGGACTGGGAAGTCATGTTGTTACTCAGTACGGAGGGGTGGGAGAGAAGAATCCCAAGGTCCTTGATGAAATGTTAACAGACGAGGCTGCCATCTGATTCTTGCTGCAAGTGAATCTCTCATGAATGAGAAACGAACACAATTCTAAATAAGAAAGAGCTTCAACAATTCGGTGAAGGTTAGGACCAGATCTGATATTTTAACAGGAGGTGAGGCCTTCTCAGCACACAGCCAGCTCTGAACTCTGTCCGCTTCCACTCTGCTAGGGGCCTATGCTGACAGCAATCTCCTGGCACATTTCTTTACGCGCCCCCCCCTCCCCCCAACCTGGCCTCCCGCCCCCTATACACTGCTGTGAGGAAACAGAAAGTGGCTCCTTCTGACTAATCTTAGGACGCCTGGTAGAACTGAAATCGACATATGGACGTTCTGTTCTGGGCAGAGGTCTCTGTCAGCTCTCTGAGCATTCCACAGTTCAGTGACAAACTGAAGAAGCAGAGGGCCAGGACCACTGAAGCTCCTCGTCTCCTGCAGGCCTCTCTCAGCACTAGGACAGTTTCAGAATTCAGAAGGCATAGATCCTATACCAACAAGTGGCAACTACATTGCATTCTGCGGTTTTCCAGTCATTTGCGCAGGAATGAAAGACCTGGCCTCTGAGGAGTCAGTGTGCTGCAGACAGTTTAGCAAAGCAGCCTTGGCAGTTACAGGAAAAATTTTTTTTTATATCTTTTCATGATCTTTATGATACAAGGTCAGGCAGGGCATATTTTGTCCCTATACGATAGGCAACTAATGACTTTATCTAGCTACTATGTAAGGGAGATCAAGACTGAATGACCTTTAGATCATAAATTTTTTTAAAATATATTTTTATTGATTTCAGAGAGGAAGGGAGAGGGAAACACAGAGAGAAACATCAATGATGAGAGAGAATCATTGATTGGCTGCCTCCTGCATGCCCCCCACTGGGGATCAAGCCCGCAACCCAGGCATGTGCCCTTGACTGGAATCAAACCCAGGACCCTTCAGTCCTCAGGCTGATGCTCTATCCATTGAGCCAAACCGGCTAAGGCTAGATCAGAAATTTAAGGAAGGTACAGAACAGTTACAAAAATCCCATAGAGACTTCCCGGAGAACTGCCCTAGAGTCATGTTATTGTAAATGAGAAAATATTAAAATACTAAAACGCAACACCATTGGAAAGCAAATGGCCAAACAACGTAACACCAGTCTAGGCCATGATTACCTGGAAGCCAATGGTTTGCAGTTCATGGTGGAGCCCATCCAGGACACGCCGTCCGTCGAAGATGAAGGCTGGCTTCAGCATTTTTTTGTGAATACGTTCATAATCTAATTCCTATAGAGACAGAACCAAAGGAGCAGTTAGAATACACGCATGAGCACATATCAACCCCAACTGGTACTAGAACACCTCTAAAATCTCCCCTTGCCATTTCGCCACCTCACCTTAAACATGTCCCACTCGGTGCAAATAACAACAGCATGGGCGCCATCACACGCTTCATATGGATCCTTAGAAATGGTCACAAGTTGAGACACTACAACAACAAAAAATTGGCAATAGGAAAGGAGTTATTTGAAACTGTGCATTTTAACACTAGGATTGCAGGAGGAGTTGAGGGCCTGAAAGAAATGGAATGGTTCGGTTGAAGTGTGAGTGAGGGGAATGAGGTGGCCATGAAGCATCTCCTTGGAGCCTCTGGGCTTTTTAGAATATGTAGGAAAAATCATTAGAGTAACCCACAACTCACTACTTCAAACTGAAGTTGACAAAACTGCCTAAGGTTTCTTTTTATTTTTCCATTGATTTTTAGAGAGAGTGTAAGGGAGGAGGGAGGGAAGAGGGAGGGAGGAAGGGAGAGGGAGAGATAGAGATAGAGATAGAGACATTGATGTGAGAGAGACACATCAAATGCCTCCTGCAGGAGCCCCCGACCAGGGATGGGATCAAACCTGCAACCAAGGAACACACCCTTGACCAGGAATAGAACCTGTTCTAACCACTTAGCAAACTGACCAGGGCCTAAGGGTTTCATTAGAGAAATGACGGTGAAACAGGCCTACCAATGGTAGAACCTGAACAAAGGTTTCTGGAGAACAAACAAATTTTGGGACCATACTCAAAGTGATACATGAGACTCAAAGCCTTACCTTGGTCATCCTCTGAAACTCCTGGATGAGACAGATCCACCACTATTTGTTCCCTTGGCACTTTTGGGTCATATATATGGAGGTGTGCACCTTCGTCCATCAGATATTTGCTAATATATATACTAGAAGATTCTCTGATGAAAAAAAAAACAGTGTTGTTAAGCTTTTTAAATGGCATATATTCTCATACCTTAGGCATTTAATATACAGGGCGGGGCAAAAGTTTACAATTGTGAGTATAAGAAACAGAGCTTATTCTTATATTTTTTCCTTTTTAATGAATTTATTGGGGCAACAACTGGTTAACAAAATTATATGGTTTCAAGTGCACAATTCTACAACACATTACTGTACACTGTATTCTGTGTTTGCCACCCCAAGTCAAGTCTTTGTCTGTCATTTGCGCCCCCTGAACTGTCATGCATGGCTCTCCACTGCCTTTCCCTCTGGCCATTACCACACTGTTGTCTGTGTCCATGAGTTGTTTTTTCTGTTTTACTCAATTCCCCTACCCTCCATCTTATATTTATTAATTATTGTATTATTTTCCATATGAACAACTGTAAACCTACTTTTGCCCACTCTGTACAGGTAAGATTCTATATTTTGTGACGATATGGATGTTCACTTTATTTTTATTCTTTATACTATATACATACAGGTGTTTTACACACTCATCCACCAGTCAAACACCAGGATAAGATAAGGAGTTAACACTCTCAAAGGGATTGAAATATTTTAAAGAACTAATAATACCTTGTATCACCAGTGTCCTTTTTGAATGCAAACCCCAAAATAGCTATCTTCTTATCAGTCACTGTATTAAACAGACCATCTATAATCCGGGAAGCAAACCTCCTCCTCTGGTAGTCATTTATATCTATGACCTGGAATTACATGTACAATTATGCAACAACTGAAGAGGTACCGCTTGTGCCATACATTGCTTAGTTTTATGATGCTAACTGTTGTATGAATCCAAGCCTTATAAATCAACAGGAGACAAAGATTAGCCAACCGCTTTAGTATCTACAGATTAAAAAAACAAAAACCCCCGCCCCCTCTTTAAAGCCACACTAAAATTTGTATTTTTCATTTGGCTTATCTTTCCATGCATCAGGCTGGGATGGCTGTAAAGATGGAGAACACAGCATCTGAGGTCCAGCTATGAGGCCAGCCTAAATAAGCACATAGCAGCAGTGTTCTCGTTAGCTAACTTCTCCAAACCCTGTGGAAGGAGGGCTGTAAGCAATCAAACCCCAAAGTACTTCCTCATATGCTTACTCCCACCCCTCACCACAATTGAGTGAATAGAAAGTGGAGAGAGGACTGTCAAACATTGTGCAGAGTTACAGCTGCCTCTGGATGAACTATAACACCATGAACATCTGGCAATTTTTAACTAAATGTTATGGGTAAAAAGTCTCTGATCACCTAATTGTTTTTCTCCTAAAAGTTTATAAACAAGACTTCGACCAAATGAATGTAAGGAAAGAGACTACTTTCTGTGTGTGGTTTTTTTGTTTTGTTTTTAAGGCTCTAAGCTTCAAGGGGCTGTATCCTGAGAACAAGAAATGAGCCCAAAGTGTTGGAAAAGCAAGCCTTTATCTGCATTTGCCCCCCAATGGACAGTAAGATAAAGCTATCATGTGGGATCGAGTATACATTTCCATTTTTTAAAATGTGTATTTCCTTACATTCCTACCCACTGCTGAAATCTGAAAAACTACAAACTTGGGGGGAAAATATTTGGGAAAGGTACATATACTGGCTGGTATCTTGGATAAATTACTTAACATCTGTAAGTTTCAATTTCCTCATTATAAATGAAGGATAATATTAGGACTAGGCAAAGCACTTATAAACATAGGCGGAGCACTATAAATGAGGACTAGGCAAAGCACTTAAAAAAGAGTCTGGCCCAGCTGGTGTGGCTCAGTGGTTGAGCATTGACCTATGAACCAGGAGGTCAAAGGTTCAATTCCTGGTCAGGGCACATGCCTGGGGCTGCAGGCTAGATCCCCAGTGTGGGGTGTGCAGGAGGCAGCCGATCAATGGTTCTCGCTCATCATTAATGTTTCTGTCTCTCTCTCCTTCTCCCTTCCTCTCTAAAATAAATATGTTTGTTTGTTTTTTTAAAAAGAGAGAGTCTGGCACAGAGTAAGGACTCAATAAATGTTAACTCTATTTCCAATTTGAGAAGGTCTCCAATTTTAGCTCAAAGGGACAGGACAAATATCAGCCTATGCAAACCACATGAAATCATTATAATACAGATCCTTCCTTTATTTTGATTTTATGCATTTAATGATAATTACAATTTAGAGTAAACAAAAACTTTGAGCAAGTTCTTGCTTTACTCTAGGAGCAAATTTAGTTATAAAATTAGAAGAAATACTCCTTTATCAGAAACCTCTATCACAGTTGATTAGCAAGAGACAAAAACACCGAAACCCAGTAAATAAACCTAAAATTTAAAAATTGAATATAGTAATAGTTGAGTTCCTGGAATAAATAAATCCTATCAAAAACATTTCACAAAGGGTGACATTTTTAATTAGAAGTTAATCATAAGTTGTTGACTATAAAGATCAATACCTGTTGCCAATAATGAGCTACTTCAGGCAGATTCAGAGCCTCACAAAGATAAACCAAATTCAGAACATCCTTTTGAAAGCAGCTCCCACCAAAACCTAGAGAAAGAAAAAAGAAAATGACAATATTTTCATTTAGGATACCACAAAACTGAATCGTGACAAATTTGTCATACTAAATCAGAGGACCTATGCTGGGATTTTAAATACTAAAGTTTGAATACTGGAAAATTAGTAGGTTTACAAATTGTGTAAAACTTGCTGGCAACTAATCAATTCTATAAATAAACCCCAAATAATTTTCTAGCTAAAGTTTTATTATTTTCATATTTTCTTTTTTTTTTCTCAGTCGTCTGTCTAACTGCCCCACATATCTAACTTTAGCACAGACAGAGTGGCAAACTTTTATGAGCCAGTAGCAAATATTTAAATCTTTGTAGGCTATACAGTCTCTGGCACAACTTTCTTTTGTTGTTAATCCTCACCCAATAATATTATTTCCATTGATTTTTAGAGAGAATGGAAGGAAGAGGGAGAGACAGAGAGAGAGAAATATCAAAGTGAGAGACATATGGGTTGGTTGCCTCCTGCACACGCCATTGAACAGGAATAGCACTCATGACTCTTCAGTCCGCAGGCTGATGCTCTAACCACTGAGAGTACCACCCAGTGCTCTGACATAACTCTTCAACTCTGCCTTTGTAGCTCAGAAACAATCATAGACTATATGTAATAAAATGGTTGGGGCTATGTTCCAATAAAACTTTATTTACAAAAATAAACTGGGCCGGATTTGGCCTGAAGGCCATATTTTGCCCACCCCTATTCTAGTGCAATGCCGTATACAGTGAGGGATGGCATGAGCTCTGGAGTCAGAAACATCTAGCCACTCAGTAGCTGTATGACTTTGAGCAAGTTGCAAAATGTCCCTGAACCTCAATTACCTCTATAAAGAAAATACCAGCACCTTTGTAACAGGTTGTAAGGATTAATAATGAGATATATAAAGTGCTGGTTCTGAAGTTGGTGCACAATATGGCTTCAGTAAATTGCAGTTATTTTTATTAAATGGTAGCTAGAAGAAAATATCAAAAAGATACAAAAAGCCAGGGAAACCAATATTGGAAAATGGCATAAGGTCCCGGAAATACAAGAAAGGCTGCGCTATGGACCAATGTGTAAAAGGCTCTGTTTACGCCCTGGCCAGTGGGGCTACAGGTAGTGGGTTCAATTCCCAGTCAAGGGCACATACCTGGTTGCAGGTTTGATCCCCGGCCCTCATGCAGAAGGCAGCTGGTCAATGTGTCTTTCTCACATCGATCTTTCTCTCTCCCCCAACATCCCCTCTCTCCCTCTCCCTTCCATTCTCTCTAAAAATCATTGGAAAAAATATCCTTAGGTGAGGATTACAAAAAAAATTTTTTTAAAGAGGCTCTGTTTACTTTTACATCAACCTTATTTACTTATATCCAAAAATACAATCAAATCAGTTCTCATTTTACTTGGTAGTTATGTTCTACAGATTGCTGAATTAGCAAATACTGTAGCACTATTCCTAAATGAAATACAGGGTTAGGTTCCTATGAGCTTCTGGTCACATTTTCATCAACCAATCAATCAATAATCTTGTTTTATGTGTTTCTGTTTAGAGACACTTTATTTAATACATATTATTGATTCATTAACATTGAACTCACAGCCATCAGCACTATCACGCATGCAGGAATGAAGCTTAACCACATGTATTTTCTCCTGGATGCATTTTAAACAGTGAAACCATAACCAAAAAGCACAAAAATGCAAAACCCTTGGAACTTAATAAACCACAAAAACAGTGCATGTTTGTAGTATGAAAGCTGAAACAGGAAGGCAAGAGCACTGCCTTATCCAGCTCTAGCTGGGAATGTATGTCAGGTGACTCAAATTTTTTGCTCCTCTGTTCATTTCTGCAAAGGACCGCAAAGGACCACAAAGCACCCCGAGGATTGATTAGGAGGTTAGAAATAAACTGTAGTGAGTAAGCTAACTCACAAATATGGAATCTGGAAGTAATGAAGATCAAAGCCAGATTTCTAAAAGTATATTCGTAAGAAGAGCAAATGATAGCAAATTTTTGCTACTTGCTTTGGATATTACTTGAGGTTTTTTTTTTATGTGGTCTCCCAAACTTATTCTTCTTAAATGTTCTTACTAAATACCAATTTATTCCTTCTAAAACACTGAAGTATGTTTATCCTACTAATCGGTCAATAATTATTAAACAACATAAGTAACTGTTACCTCACTTAAAAAGCCCCTCACTGCCCTAACCGGTTTGGCTCAGTGGATAGAGCGACGGCCTGCGGACTGAAGGGTCCCCGGTTCGATTCCAGTCAAGGGCATGTACCTTGGTTGCGGGCACATCCCCAGTGGGGGGTGTGCAGGAGGCAGCTGATCGATGTTTCTCTCTCATCGATGTTTCTAACTCTCTATTCCTCTCCCTTCCTCTCTGTAAAATATCAATAAAATATATTTAAAAAAAAAAAAAAGCCCCTCATAGCCCTGGCTGGTTTGGCTCAGTGGATAGTGTTGGCCTGCAGACTGAAGGGTCCTGGGTTTGATTCCGGTCAAGGGCATGTGCCCCTGGGTTGTGGACTCGATCCCCAGCAAGGGGTGTGCAGGAGGCAGCTGATCAATGATTCTCTCTCATCATCAATGTTTCTATCTCTCTCTCCCTTTCTCTTTGAAATCAATAAAAATACTTTATAAAAAAAAAAAAAATTCCTGATAGGCTGAAGGCTACATGTATAATGGAATGATTATTTTAAGGGCATTAAGTTAAACAAAGACTTCCTTAAATGTATTTTTTTTAAAGTAGATTTTTATTGATTTCAGAGAGGGAAAGGGAGAGAGAAACACCAATGATGAGAATCCTTGATCGGCTGCCTCCTGCATGCCCTCTACTGGGGATTGAGCCAGCAACCCAGATATGTGCCCTGACTGGGAATTGAACCGTGACCTCCTGGTTCATAGGTCGACGCTCAACCCTGAGCCACACCAGCTGGGCGAGACTTCCTTAAATTTAGAGACCCAGCTAAATGAACCCACTTTATGTGCTGAAATTTTCAGCTTACCAACACTGGCTTTCAGAAACTTATTTCCAATTCTCTGGTCCATTCCAATGGCTGTTGCCACCTCTTCTACATCAGCTCCTGTTGCTTCACAGAGGGCACTTATAGAGTTAATGCTGCTGATTCTCTGGGCAAGAAACGCATTTGCTGCCTTAAAAAATAAAAGGAAAACTATGATAAGCTAAAATAGCAATTTTATACAACTGGAATATATTTCATTGTGTTGATGCAAATTACTGAGGGAGATATAAAAGTTACTGAAGGGCTCAATTTGAGGAGTCAATAGATAGGTTGGTAAGGGAAAATGTCTTAATTAGAAAAAGAAGATGATTGTGAAAGAGGGTAAAAGAAGGGAATGACTTTAAAAAATACTTTTATTCTACCCTCCATTTTCTTAAATTTTATGAAAATTATAGAATTTTCCAGAAAATTTTATATAAGGGGGAATATTTAATCCCCCTTGTGAAAATTACTTCATAATGTATAAGAATATTATCTTCAAAAGGATACCTTTTGTTAATATTAAGGAAGTAGCTGTGTAACCTAACAGTTTATAAGAGAAATAAATCCTTGGCCTTAAATTAATGGAGAGTTGAATGCTATGTACCAACCAGTTTGGAAAGTTCTGAAGACCAAGTGTTAGTGGTGAGGATCTTTTCTTTTGGAACCCAGTGCAGATACACAGCGCAGAGTGCCTGCACAGCTCTCTGGCCCTCTGGGGTTTCATCCCCTCCAATCAGTACTCTGTCTGGGTTCTTTAGGTCCTTGATGGCCGTTCCTTCTGCCAAGAACTCAGGGTTGGACAGAACCTAGAATCCCAATGCAAAGGAAGTTTTAAGCTAGAGTTCACTGTGAACAAAGTTAAGACATCAATATTTACATATGAAAAACCAGATTCTAATGCTTCCTCTTTTTTATACCTGTAGATTCAAGTTGGGTTTTGTGTTTGCATCAAATATTTGCCGAATACTTTCTGCTGCCCTCACAGGAACCGTGCTTTTCTCGGTCACAATTTTGTACCCATGTGAGTTTTGTACAATGCGTCTAGCACAGGCTTCAATGTACTTCAGATCTGCTGCACGGCCCTTCCCCATTCCGAAGGTTTTTGTCGGAGTGTTCACCTGGTGAAAGTATCCGGGATTAAGAACAGATTATCTGTGAGATACTCAGCAATTTCAAGATAGGCCATCGACCATCAATTAGCTAGTCAAGTGGGAAGTTACCTGTCATCAGTAGCCCTGATTTTAAAACTCATTCGCTCCTCAAAAACAATACATTTTATAAATATAATCACCAGAAGGAATAGCTTGAAGCTTCTGGAGAATTCATTCAATAAATTTCTGTTGAGAACTACCATAAATGTGTCAGACACCAAGCCAGGCAAGTTCCAAGCTAAAAAAAGTGCTAGAGCTATAAAGATGAATGAAATAGTTCTTATCTTAAAGGACTTCACAATCTGAAATGAAATGTAAATTTTCTCTTCTTTCCTCTCTTCATTGTATGTAATATATTATCATGGTCTTAAATTCCTTTCTTATTATCCTTCTTTATAGACCAATATCAATAGCTTTTAAAAATGTTTACAGTATCATTCACAAATACCTTCTTGGCTCATTAAAGCTAAGAATCATTTAGCATTTTCAGCATACACAATACTACGTAGACAAAGACTATCAAACAGAAAGAAAAATAAATCCTGAGCCCAGAGTCCTCTAGGCATTTAGTTTCGGCTTAGTTCTATTACATAACCTTGGGGAAGTGTGGCTGCCTTTGCCTCAATGACCTCATCAGGATAACACACTCTTTAAAATCTAACACACGAGTTTTATAACACTCTGATAAAAATGAAAGTACAAGAAGAAGAAAAAAATGGAAGTACACTGAAAATTATAAAATTCTATACAGGAATAATTTCTGAACCAGGAGGAAGAAGAGCCAATTTTCTTCTCTTGACAAGCTTATAACCTAATGGAGAACTAAATAAAGAAATCAAGCCAAAATAAATCAAAATTTGAGGATTGAGTTGAGGAGTGAAAAGCAGGAAGAAAAAGTTGTTTATATGTATAGAACAACTGAGGAAAAGAATAAGTCATGAAGCCACGGTGCAAGGGAGGAAGAAGGGAAATGATGGCTGGCTAATGGATAAGGCAAAACATGCCACAGATGGGAGATGATCAGATGGCTTCCCTCCTGCAAGCTTAAGTAGAGGATGGGTAGGGGAGTCATAGAAGCTGCACCAATTGCTCTGAGTAATTAAAAAGGCCAAAAAGGGAGAGAGACTGGCTTCATTACCACTTTTTTTCTGGAGTTCACATACCTTCACAGTACTGCTTCTGTCTCTCACCAGTAAGAAAACACCTTTTCTTTAACTTATAGTCATTAACAATATGCAGAGGGTAGATGGACCTCATGACATTTCTTCCCTTTATCTCAGGGGACCCAGTCAAAACTCACGCCACTGGCTTCACCTTTATTCTGTAAGGCCCTAACGGTCTGGAGTCCTATAACATCCTAGCTCAGACACCAATTGGTGATAACTATACCCGCACACACAGAATATGTGAGTAGATGGTTACCAGGACAGCAAGAAATAAGTTACCTTGGTTCAAATACTGGATTATCAGAGTTTACTCCCAAGCATTGAATCTATTTTTTTTTTTTAATTACAAAGGTGCAACAGTGTAGCCATACTATGAGCTGAAGGTGTCTGTAGGCTAGCCTGACAACCTAACCAACAGATGCCAAGTTCCAAATTAATTTAAAATGAGTTTTGGAACATAATTCATCTAGATAGGAGATGCCTGTAAGTTTGCAAGCAAACTTCACCTGATTCTCTTTACCTCACCTCCACCAACCAGAGGGGGGGAAAATGATGATATAAAATACTATCACCATATGTGCTCACACATTACCAGCACTTCCTAATTCTAGATCTCAAACTAGAACTTTCTCTGAATTTATTTGTTAAATGATCTAATGACGTATTTGACCAAATGATTATAGGGTTTGGCAAGGTGTTGGACAAAGTCAGTGACAACCAAAATTCAACTGGATAATGCTATCCTAAGCAATGCTGTGGCTTACTACACTGCATTTACTATTAAAATAAAATGAAACATCTGTATAGACAAGAATACATTAAAAAACACACACCAAAGGAAAATACTTACAGAAATAAATACAAGATCAGCTTCTTTAATGGCATCATCAATATTGGTAGAAAAAAATAGATTTTTTCCTCGACAGGCTTCTACCACTTCTTGTAGTCCTGGCTAAAAAGAAAAAAAGAAAAGGAGCTGTACATACTATTTACCAGTTATATGAGATAACTTAAGAGTATAGAATTACATGTGTTAAAGAAGCAGAAGTTTATATTGTAAGTTAAAGGTCTAGACTCGCTCTCAAATAACACCTGTGTACAAAAATCAAAGATCATACACCAAAGGCCATAAAGTGTACATTATTTAACATTATTCAATAAAGCAAATTAAACCTCCCACAATTAAAGCAGCAGCTTATTTTAATGCTTTGTCATTGTTTACCATGTGCCAGATTATTTCATAAGAGTTAATAGTTAACTCTTGAGTATCAACACAATTATCAGGAAATTCAATATCTTCTGTGAGTTCAAGCAAACATTTGATTTCACATTATCATTATGAATATAATATAGATTTTTACCCCCAAGAGTTTAGGCCATACAACTGGTTGTGAAAGTCACTATTTACAAATACATTAATATATTTTTTTCTAAGTCATACTGTAAGAAACACTTCTAATGAGAATTGTTACTTTTCTCATAGTTTAACAGGAGATCTAATAATGTTAAGAATATTAAGCTGTGCTGCACCACCTAACAAGTATTCCTGCCCCCCTCCAAAAAAAAAAAAAATCAGAACTAAATCTGATCAGACCAGTCCAATAAGCAAAATCCAGACTGAAAATTTCTACAGGATAAACAACTTGGTTTCTTCAATAAATAGAGTAAAGAGAAAAACCGAGAGAGAAAGAGATTAAAATACTGTGGTCTTGAAAGACACTTAGGTGACACAAATCTGTTGGGATGTCTGGATCTTACTTGCACTCTGATTCAAATAAACTATGGGAGGAAGAACATGAATAAGAATTCTTGATATTAAGAAATTGTTTAAAATTTTATCAGTAATAATGGTGATGTGCTTATATTTAAAAAAATTTATTTTTAGAGATACATAATGAAATAAGTATAGATGAAATTATAAATAAACAGGTAGGTGGTACTTGGGAGAGGGGACTGGGCCATGTTGATAAACTGTTGAAACAGGGTGATGGGCATATGGGGATTTATTACCCTATTCTCTCTGCTTTTAATACATTTTAAATTTTCATAATAAAAAGGAGGGGAAAAAAGACTAAACCACTGACACTTACTTTTCTTGGCAGAGGGGTTCAAACAATGCCCACAATATTATGGATGTTTATAAAACTATCTGCGTATATAGCAAAGTAAAAAGCCACTTCAGGGCTTCAGGTTTAGTTATATCCAGAGGCAATTTACTTTTCTTCATGGTTCGGAGGCTTTTGAAAATAAGCAATTAGAGGAAGTGTTAAATGTAAATTCAATTTCCATTAGTTTGACTAAAATATATACTAGGACCAGCAAAATACACGAACCACAACAACCATAAATATAGTGTCATCAATCAGTAACGTTTCCTTGGTTATTTTAACTAGATTCTGGAAAATCAGACTAAAAGGTTATGGGATTTTGCAGAGGAATTTAATTCAGTCCTATGTATAATCTCCTAATACTGTATTTGAATTAACTTAAAATTATGGCAATGCAGAATTTCTTTAATATGTTTTTTTAATTGACTTTAGAGAGAGAGGAAGGCAAAACACCCACACAAGGATGGGGGGGGGGGAGAGAAACATTGATGTGAGAGAGACACATAGATCGGTTGCCTCTGGTACACACTGACTGAGGACTGAACCTGCAACTGATATGTGCCCTGAGGGGGAATCAAACCAGCGACCGACCTTTCAGTGCACAGGATGATGCTCAACCAACTGAGCCACATGGGCCAGGGCTTTTTGTTTGTTTATTTGTTAATCCTCACCCAAGAATATTTTTACATTGATTTTTTTAGACAGAGTAGAAGGAAGGAGGAGAGACAGAGAGAGAGAAGCATCAGTGTCAGAGAGACACATCGATTGGTTGTCTCCCGACTGGGGCCGGGGATTAAGTAAGCAACCGAGGTATGTGACCTTAACCAGAATGGAACCCGCGCCCCTTCGGTCTATGGACCGATGTTCTACCCACTAAGCCAAACCAGCTAAGGCAATGCAGAATTTATACTAAGCTTCAATAAGACCTCAAAATTAACAACTACATTACTCTGCTAAAACCAATGGGATATTTGTAGAACTGCAGAAGTGATGCAGAAGCAATTAATAATATAGGTTCTACCTCTTACTAGAGTCATTATGTAATTATCATAATTAGTAATTAGAATTTATATATAATACTTTTTATATAAAAAAAACTCAAATCCTTTCACAGGGTAAAATTATCTTTAATTTTACTCAGAAAAAGAAAAGCAAATTATTCATTTTGTTTTTTAAAAAGTAGTTATTAATGCCTTAGCTGGTTTGGCTCAGTGGATAGAGCGTAGGCCTACGGAATGAAGGGTCCTGGGTTCAATTCCAGTCAAGGGCACATGCCCGGGTTGTGGGCTCCATCCCCAGTAGGGGGTGTGCAGGAGGCAGCTGGTCAATGATTCTCTCATCATTGATGTTTCTATCTCTCTCTTTCCTTCTTCCTTCCTCTCTGAAATCAATAAAAATAAAAATAAAAATAAAAAGTAGTTATTATCTTTATCAAATTACAGAATCAATAAAACATTAAATTTAAAAAGTAGTTATTAAATTATTTTGATGAACAATATTAATGAAAAAGGCAGACTATTCAATAAATATGGTAACACAAAACAGAATGTTTTAATTGCTAAATATTAACAGTATCTACCACATTATTTTCTGAGTAAAAACTTAAGTAACTTAGTACCACATTTTACATTAGAAATCATTACTATTTCTTATGGAATACAAAATGACTACTTGTTTATTAATATAGTTTTGACCCATAAAATATAAGCCTATAAGATTAGAAAGAACCACAGTAAACTTAAACTCCTAGGCTTTAAGTATATTTCGTTGGGTTTTCATTGTGGCCTGATAAATCTTTTTTTTAGAGAGAGAGAGAGAAAGAGAGAGAGAGAAAAAAAATGATTTGTTGTTCCACTTATTTATGCACTCATTGGTTGATTTTTTTTTTTTAAATATATTTTATTGATTTTTTACAGAGAGGAAGGGAGAGAGATAGAGAGTCAGAAACATAGATGAGAGAGAAACATCGATCAGCTGCCTCCTGCACATCTCCCACTGGGGATATGCCCGCAACCCAGGCACACGCCCCTGACCGGAATCGAACCCGGGACCCTTCAGTCCGCAGGCCGACGCTCTATCCACTGAGCCAAACCGGTTTCGGCCATTGGTTGATTTTTGTATGCGCCCTGACCAGGGTTCAAACACGCAACCTTGGCTTTTCGGTACAATACTCTAACCAACAGAGCAACCTGGCCAGGACTTCACCTTACAACTTTTTGACTGAACAATGATGCAAAAGCGATATGCATTCAGTAGAAACTGTGCTTCGAATTTTGATGTCTTCCCAGGGTAGCAATACACTGTTCAGCAGCAGTGACCATGAGAGATACTCTACAGTGTAACGTGTTCGCCAGTGTTTTTTGGGTATTGTGTTTTGCATCCCATCAAGTCTACAAAACATCTCTGTTTATTGTTTCTGGTGAGAAAAGGAAGGCAATTGCTCTTGAGATAGAACTCAAGATAACGGTCCAACTATAAGCTAATGTAAGTGTTCTGAACACGTTTAAATTGGGCTTCGCTAAGTTATGGTGTTCAGTAGATTAGGTATATTAAATGCATTTTTTATTTACAATAGTTCTAACTTATAAAGGGTTTACCTGGATGTAACCCCATTCATAAAACGAGGAGCACCTGTACTGCTCTTTACTATTCACAATCCTTGACCCAACACTATCCCTTTTATCTTCTTCAGAATATTTTACCTCTCAGTTCCAGACAATTAAGATTACCAATGTCAGTCATCTTTATTTCAGGTCCCCACCAGCAAAACTGTCTGTATCAGTGATGGCGAACCTCTGACACGCGAACTCATTTTTTTGGTTGATTTTTCTTTGTTAAATGGCATTTAAATATATAAAATAAATATCAAAAATATAAATCTTTGTTTTACTATGGTTGCAAATATCAAAAAACTTCTTTATGTGACATGGCACCAGAGTTAAGTTAGGGTTTTTCAAGATGCTGACACGCCGAGCACAAAAGGTTCACCATCACTGGTCTATATGTTTCTCCATCCTTGTTAGCTTCCCTTCAGTCTCCAAGAAGGAATTTTTAAGGCTAATCCCTCCATTTGTGCTTTTGATCCCATCCTTCTGCTCTGTCTACATTATTCGATCAATTTTCCCTTTCTTCATACGCTTTTGACTATTCCTTCTCTATGTGATTTGTCTACTTTAGTTTATTAACGTGCTCGATCATCAAATATAAATAAAATCATTGCATTTACCCTGTGCCCCTCTTCAGTGACCACCCCCTTCTAAATTAAAGAGTCTTACTTTTCTTTTCTACACTTTCACCCTCAAGCTCCTATCATTTGTAATTATTCTTGCAAGAGTTATAATCCCCTCCATTATACAAAATTTAATGAACATGTCTCAGCCCTTATTTCTCCTGCATTTGTTATAGTTGACAGCTTACCAATTGATTCAGCAAACATTTATTGAACACTTACTATGTGCTCTTCACTGTGTTAGTCACTCATAACCAAGACATGCATCTCTATGGCATCTGCACTATTAAAACTCTTCTTGTATGCCCTGGCTGGTTTGGCTCAGTGGACAGAGTGTTGGCCTGCAGCCTGAAAGGTCCCGGGTTCGATTCCGGTCGGGGCACATGCCTGGGTTGCGGGCTCGGTCCCCAGTAGGGGGCGTGCAGGAGGCAGCCGATCAATGATTCTCTCTTGTCACTGATGTTTCTATCTCTCTCTCCCTCTACCTTCCTCTCTGAAATCAATAAAAATTAAAAAACAAAACAAAAAAAACAAAAAAACTCTCTGGTATTTGGTTTACCTTCTCTGAAATTCTTCATTGCTTCTCTATGGCATTTCCTCCTATACCTACAATCATGATTTGCTTTATATAATTAGGTGCTTCTATCTTGGGGACATAAATGTTTACAATGGTTATATCCTCTTGTTCGATTAATCCCTTTATCATTATGTAATGTCTTTCTTTGTCTCTTATTATAGTCTTCATTATAAAGTCCATTTTGTCTGATATAAGTATTGTTCATTTGCATGAAATATCTTTTTCTGCCCTGGCTAGGTAGCTCAGTTGGTTACAGTATCATCCCGATATGCCAAGGTTGCAGGTCCAATCCCAGTCCCTGGTCAGGGCACATACAAGAAGCAACCAATGAGTGCATAAATTAGTAGAATAACAAATCGATGTTTCTTTCTCTCTCATTTTCCTCTCTCTCTCCCTGCCTCTCTCTAAAATCAAGAAATAATTAAAAAAAGGGCTTCTGTCGTGAGTGGCACACATAGAGCAGCTTGATTGCTCTACGTGCGGAATTGACATCAAGAGATTTCAGAAGCATAGTTTTTTGGTACTTGGGCAGCTGGTGATCGTTGGTCCTGGCCCCCCGCAATAACTAAATAAATGAATGAATAAATAAATAAATAAATAAATAAATGAAATAAAATCAAGAAATAAAAAAAACATATATCTTTTTCCAGCCCTTTGCTTTTAGTCTGTTATGTCTTTAGTTCTGAGGTGGGTCTCTTACAGACAGCATTATATATGAGTCTTGTTTTCTTATCCATTTAACTACCGTATGTCTTTTGATTGAAGCATTTAAGCCATTGATATTTAAAGTGGTTGCTGATAGGTACATATTTATTGCCATTTTTTCTTTATTGTTCCTCCAGTATTTATATATAAAAATACTGAATAGAAAATGCTACCATCAAATTTTCAAATGCTTCCCTGTTGGGCTTCAAAATCATTATCATGAATTCATTTACAATGAAATAATTTTTAAAAAGGGATGCAGAGAGCTTAATAAAATAGTTAAAAGCATATTTTCTTAACTATAAATTCTCTAAATTCAGAAATTTTGAAATTCTAATTAAACAAACTTGTGATACTAAACACTAAATATGAAAAGCACCATTTACCAATCCAAGATTTACCTGATATAAGTACAATAATCCAAGAACTGTAACAGACATATATGAATTAATATTATAAACATCCATAGTTTTGTATTTCCTGAATACCACTTTTTAATTTTACTATTATGTATGGTAGCCATAGTAAAATTAGAAAGTAGCGAAAAAAATTACCCATAAACTCACTGCACTAATACAACCATTATTAATATTCTAATTTACTTCTTTCCAGTCATTTTCCTGGTCATACTTGACATAATTGTAATTATAATGTCCACAACACTGTATATCTAAATTTTTTAATTTAATTTCCTATCAGTTTTGATCATAGATTTTTTACATCAATAGTAAGTTATTTCACAAAATCAGTAAGAAAACAAAGAACATAAGAACAAAGAGTTGTACAATATGGTTTACCTCATAAATAGGCAGCGTAGGAGAGTTCCATGCATTGATTCTTGATTCATTGACATCAACAACCGTTACCTTGATTTCAGGGCACATCTGAGCTATGACACTACACGTGGGTCCTCCAACATAGCCCGCACCGATGCAACAGATCTTCTTAATTTCAAACATGACTGTACTAGAAGAGAAACAGTAAGACTGTTCTACTATTGAAAACAGAAAATTTAAAATAACTTTGCTTATTCATCACACAATAAAAATTGTCAAGGTGCCACATCTGGAAAGATTTCCTACATTCACACTCATTAAGAATTATGAAAATAGTGATTAAAAAATAACATTCCGCCGAAACTGGTTTGGCTCAGTGGATAGAGCATCGGCCTGCGGACTGAAGGGTCCCGGGTTCGATTCCTGTCAAGGGCATATACCTGGGTTGCGGGCACATCCCCAGTGGGAGATGTGCAGGAGGCAGCTGATCGATGTTTCTCTCTCATCGATGTTTCTAACTCTCTATCTCTCTCCCTTCCTCTCTGTAAAAAATCAATAAAATATATTTAAAAAAATAAAATAAAATAACATTCCACTTGGATGACCAAACCTGTTCTCAGCTGCACTAGTATGAAACATAAGGAAAAAATTACAATAACTGGTAATACTGGAGAAGAGCCACAAAGATTATAATGACCCAATATTCAGAAACTCAAGAAGCAAAATAAAACCTTACTTAGGCCTCTTAATACACTAGAACAACTTTGCGGAAGTAAAGTTCAAAGGTGAAATACCAGTGCAATTCCTGCTTAAATAAATGCTGGTATACAAAGGTCGGCTTTGAGACCGGTTTAGACAAACACAGTGATAGTAAGATTAGTTCTGACGTCCAGAATTATTGGCCTCTGAGATTATACTCTCTACCCAGTTTGGCTTCAGTTTACTTTTAGGTATTTGACGATGATCTTAAACTCAATTTCAAATTTAATCAGAAACCATGAGGTAGTTAAAAGAAAGAAATTTCTGTAGTAACCAAAGCTGTTAACACAGGTTTTTTTTTTTAATCCTTACCCGAGGATATTTTTTCCATTGCTTTTTAGAGAGAGTAGAAGGGAGGGAGGGAGGGAGGGAGGGAGGGAGGGAGGGAGGGAGGGAGAGAAAGAGAGAGAGAGAGAGAGAGAGAGAGAGAGAGAGAGAGAGAGAGAGAGAGAGAGAAGCATCGATGTGAGAAAGACACTTCGATTGGTTGCCTCCCACATATGCCCCAATGGGCCGAGGATCAAATCTGCCCTTGACCACCAGGAATTGAACCAACAACCCTTCCGTGCAAAGGCTGATACTCTAATCACTGAATAACACCGGCAAGGGCTTCACGGATTTTCAAAAACCATTTGTTAAATTGATTTACACTAACCAAAATTACAAAAGACTAATTTAAACATAAGAATGTCAGTTTATTCATTATAGTGAGAACAAAAACTATCAAACTGATCAAATTCTCAGAATTTTACTCCTTGTCAAGACCGCAGACATCTAATTCATGGATTCCAAAGTAAAGAAAAATGATAATCAGAAAATTCAGTAACTTTTTAGTATATTCCTACATGGATCAGAGAAGGCTGATCTCATTACAATGCCTGCCAAATATATCCCTAATCTTCACTGGTTCTCTGGGTAGATTTCCCTACTGGAAACGAATGAGCTGACCAAACCATAAAAGTATCCTGGTTTGTATTATTAACAATTAACCCTGGCTTATAAATTGATCGTCAGTGGTCATAATTAGCAGATATCAACTCATAGAGCAGTGGTCCTCAACCTTGGCTGCACATTAGAATCACCTGGGAATCTTTTTAAAATCCTGATTTCTGGACCTCATCCCCTGGAAATTCTGTTTCTTTGTTTCTAATGTAGTGGCCCCACCCCATAACAAAGAAATAGATTTCCGATTATAATGTGCAGCCAAGATTGAGAACCAATCATAGAGTCTAATCTCTAATGACTTTCTAAAACTGTATAAAGAAACTGAATTTTAGTAAAACAATAAATATGAGCAGAAAGCAATACTCTTAGTGATATACATACAAAGATATTTTTTAAATTTGTTTTTTGTTTTGAACAGGTAATGCATTCATATGGTTCAAAAATTAAATCCGTATAACAAGGTACAGGCAGTCCTCGGGTTATGTTGGACTCGACATACCTCCTTTCGTGGTTATGTCGCCATCTCCCATTTATTTATAAAAAAAAAGTTCCGTCATTTTGACGTATGTACATAGGTGCTTTATGTTTTTTATTATTTATTTACCACAAGGTCAGGAATTATAGTTCTTTTAAATTTTTTTTACTGTTTCACTTCATTACTGCTGTGTGTGTGCTCCATGTGAGTGACGTACGTGCTTATGTAGGTGGGTTCCGACTTACGGCGACGTAGGAACGGATCTCCGACGTAACCCGAGGGCCTACTGTATATACTCTAAGAAGTCTCATAACTACCCCATCCCTATCTACTTTGTTCCCACAAGCAACTCCTTTATTAGAATTTTGTGTATCCTTTCAGTATTTTTAACTCAAGTAAATACATAGTAAATTCTAATCATCTTTTCTTCCTAAATTCAAATGATAGAATACCATATACACTATCAACATTTGTTTTATTTTCCACTTAGTGCATTCTGAAGTCCTATCCATTTCGTCTCCTCTCCTCTTACTTTTAAAAAAAAGTTATACTGTATTCCATTGTGTGGATGTACTTACCAATGCTAAATCTGGTAGATTCTCTCCTTGATAATCTAAGTGGATTAACACTTAGTTTCCTATCATGTGAAGCATAAAAATATGATATTCTTGCCCAGCTGGCACGGCTCAGTGGTTGAGCACTGATCTATGAGCCAGGAGGTCATGGTTCGATTCTTGGGCAGGGCACATGCCCGGTTGTGGGCTGATCCCCAGAGTGGGGTGTGCAGGAAGCAGCCAATCAATGATTCTCTATCATCACCAATGTTTCTAGTTCTCTCTCTCCCTCTTCCTTCCTCTCTGAAATCAATTAAAAATATTTTAATTGATATTCTTATTAAACATTTAGGATTACAAGATTCAACTCAGCAAAAATTCAAAATTTACTTTTGGCAACCATCCATCTTTCATTTCTTCACCCTTCTACTTTTCAGTTCTGCTCTTTACCATTGTCCATGCCTCAAGTGTCCTATACACCAGGAGAAAGAAAAACTACATGGGAGGAAAAGACTGCATTGGGGTAGCTAACTGGCTAAAGCTCCCACCTGTGGGAAGGGGCCTTCTGACTCTGGAGCAGGTTTACCAAAGATGTGTCTCCAGCATTTGCTGCTGCTCTTCCCACTTCTATAACAGAAAAGGCTCAGCATCTGTTTTCAAAAAAATTGTTTCAAGCCCTAGCTGGTTTTGCTCAGTGGATAGAGCATCAGCCTGCAGACTGAAGGGTCCCAGGTTCGATTCCGGTCAAGGGCACACATGCTCGGGTTGTGGGCTCCATCATCAGTAGGGAGTTTGCAAGAGGCAGCCAATCAATGAGTCTCTCTCATCATTGATGTTTCTCTCTCTCTCTCCATCTCCCTTCCTCTCTGAAATCAATAAAAATACATATTTTTTAAAAATTGCTTCAACTTAGTTCAGGCCTATTCCCATTTTCATCTTCATGAAAAATTAGTATTTCCAATGTAAGGGTCTACTGTGTAGGCATAGCAGAGAATTTGGCCATAGAGGGATACAGGAACTGACACTCTGGTATTTAACAATTTATTCTAGGGAATGATTCAATTGAAAGACATTAAACACCCTACTATGTAACAACCACTACTGGTCTATGTACTATGGATAATACTAGTAGTGAGCATGAAAGATACAGTTCCGCCCTAACCAGTTTGGCTCAGTGGATAGAGCGTCAGCCTGCGGACTGAAGGGTCCCATGTTCGATTCCGGTCAAGGGCATGTACCTTGGTTGCAGGCACATCCCCAGTGGGGAGTGTGCAGGAGGCAGCTGAATGATGTTTCTAACTCTCTATCCCTTTCCCTTCCTCTCTGTAAAAAATCAATAAAATATTAAAAAAAAAGAAAGATACAGTTCCTACTTTTATATGGCTATATTCTAGGAGAGCACACAGACAAAATAATGGCAGTTGTGACACATCCTATATAATAAAAGCCTAATAGGCTAAGTGTCTGGTCGTCTGGTCAACCAATCAAAGCATAACATGCTAATGATATGCTAAGGCTTCTCAACAGCTCGCAACTGACTACCAGGGGGGCAGACACTCTGATCGGTAGGTTAGCTTGCTGCTGGGGTCCTACCGATCGGGACTGAGTGAGTCAGGCTGGACATACCCTGGAGCCCTCCCCTGCCCCCTCCCCGGCCCCGATCATGCACCGGTGGGGTCCATCGGCCTGGCCTGCGCCCTCTCGCAATCCAGGACCACTTGGGGGATGTCGGAGAGCCAGTTTCGGCCTGATCCCGCAGGCCAGGCCGAGGGACCCTACAGGTGCACAAATTCATGCACTGGGCCTCTAGTTCCATATAAAGGAAATAATCATGTAGGAGACAGGGCGGGAGGGAAAAGCTGTCTGTGGAGAAAGGACTACATTAGATAGGGTAGTTAAAGAAGGACTCTCTGAGAAAATGACTTTTAAGCTGACTTAAAAGTTGAAAAGTTGCTAGTTGCACCCAGATAACATGGCTAAATTATACAAGGCAGTATAAACAATAAATGACAAAATGAGTGTTAAAGTCTATGGCGGGGGGAAAGTCAAAATAATAAGGCATCTACATCAAGGCAAATGTAAAATCTAAGCTTGACCTAAAGAATGAGTAGGATATAAAAAGTATAGATTAGTGGGGGAGGACATTCCAGATGAGAAGCAGAGAATAAATAAGGACTTACAGAGAGAAATGAGTCCAAAGAAGTGAGATCTGTCTCTCTGGACAAAAAAAGTGGATGTTAAGAAGTAGTGAGCAGCAATAATTGACTCCTAGAATGGAAATGAATTGAAAGTGGGTCTTGAATGCCTCTCTCAGGAAAGCATGGCCATAACAATCCATGGGACTACAACTTAGTAACTTAAGGTAACATGGCAAAAGTAACCTAAGAATCAATGGCATTAATGTAGCTAAAATCTAATAATTACACAAAAAAAGGGGTGGTGTGGGTGTGTGTGTTGGGGGGGACACAAAGGGAATGATCAGTCTGGAAAGAGGGAGTTAAGAACAAGAATGACATTGTTTATTTCAGTCCTGTCTACATAAGAGTACACAGAATCTGGAAGTCAGAAGTACTCTGATTCCAGAGAATAAGGCAAAAACAGGCTTTCCCAATGCTTGGATGGCATACTCCCCCAAGATTCTTTGTTCTGATTCCATGCTGCCTTACGAATTCAGATTTCCAGGAACCATAATACTAGAAAGTGATGGCCTGGATTTGAGAAACAGTATTCTAGGCACTGGAATAAAATTTCTCTACTGTGATAGCAAAGTTCTAGTCTAGTTTATTCATCAGTCTCTTATGAGCTTAATCATCATAAGTTAACATTTAAAGCCTCATTAACTTTGGGTTCATGGAGGTTGGAGGGTGGTACTACCTTCCAGATATGAAAGGCTGAAGATCAAGTTCTGAACTGTAATGAACCTGAAGAACTACTACACTATAACACCCTTACTGGACAGCTAGCCAACCTCTCTCTCTAAGTAAAACCAATAAATCTAGAATACGTAAAAAGTGTCATCTCAAAGTATTTTTGGACCAGAGGATTTCCTTGGGTTACCACTTAACCCCATAGTTCAGAGGTTAATAGGGAATCCTATGCCCTCAATCTCAAGCAAAACAGGTGCTGGCTGCACATGCTTAAAAATGCAGACAGTAATGCTGAACTTGAGGGTTTAGACGTAGATTCTCTGGTCATTGAGCACATCCAGGTGAACGAAGTTCCTAAAATGCAGCACAGAACTTACAGATCTCATGGGCAGATTAACCCACACAGGAGCTCTCCCTGCCACATGGAGATGATCCCACTGAAAAAGAGCAGAGTGTTCCTAAACGAGAAGAGGAGGTTGCACAGAAGAAAAAGATAACCCAGAAGAAACAAAAACTTATGGCCGGGGAGTAAATTCAGCATAAAATAAATACTAATAAAAGCAAATAATAATAATAATAATAATAAAAACATGGACTGAATGTGTACATGAGGCAACTTGAGCTCAAGAAGTTCATAGTTTAATGAGGTACTCCCAGTGCTTACCTGTTGCTATTCGCCTCGATACCTAGAACAGTAGGCTCTCAATATATATTAATTGAATGAATGAGTAACTCTCCATGAGGGTCTACCTTTATAAATGAAGACTATTATTTTAATATCTTTAGCTTAGATGGCTGATCATAGTATTTTTGCCGAGACTGCCCAGAATCCTATCATATTCTCCTCTTTAGATAGAACTTCAGTATGTCTTCCCAGTTATTTCTTAACTACCTTGATTGCAAAGCTGTATTCAGCTTGTCTCATGTACAACAGATGGAGTAAACGACTGATAGCAGGTGGACCTGTATTATAGAATTACATATGTTTCTGGGGTCCCTGCATTGCTATTTCATAAGAAGTATGGCTGTAAATGACAATGGGAAAATTACAGAAGAAGTTAGATGTACAATCTGTGCAAATCCAAATAAATTATCTTTGGAAATTTCAATAAAATGTTCAATACGCTTTAATATGGATACAGTGTTAGCTATATACTTTCCCCAACACAGATGTCTTCTGATTCCATTTCCTACTTCTACTTTTATGTACCTTCTGACCGTCCCTACTGGGCTGTCAGGGAAATGGGCATGTTTGCTTTATAAGTCAGTTTGAAATGAGTTTTTTACCTCTGTATTTTGGGAAAGTCACAACAAACCAGGCGATTCCAAAAACACTCTTCATTTAAAATTTTACAAATTGAGGTCAATATTTCTACCTAGAATATGTGGCTAACAGATAGGGAAGGTCCTATCATAATCTAAACTAAATACAATCCCTCCCCGCCCCCCCTCTTCATATACTCTGCGCAAAGCAATGGACTGACTATAGCTGGATATATCAACTTCACAAATCATTTTAGTCATTTTCAAAAGTTATATCCTAACAGATGCCTGACCCAGGAAAAGTACTAATCAGTGAGAGAGTGCTAATGTTAGATCTAAAGGGTTTCTTTAGCTGTGGAAATAGTGAGAGACTGGATGGAATATGCTTCTTAGCTGTAGATTTTTTTAAAATATATATTTTATTGATATTTTTACAGAGAGGAAGGGAGAGGGATAGAGAGTTAGAAAGATCGATCAGCTGCCTCCTGCACACCCCTAACTGGGGATATGCCTGCAACCAAGGTACATGCCCTTGGCCGGAATCGAACCTGGGACCCTTCAGTCCGCAGGCCGACGTCCTATCCACTGAGCCAAACCGGTTAGGGCTTAGCTGTAGATTTTATGTTAGAGAAAGAAGTACAGCGGTCAGAGAAGAAGTGGGATCCTCCCAATCAGGACTGTCTCCCACTTACCTTTAACTAGCTGCTGGTACTAACAAGCACATCTCAGAGCAGACAGTAAGCTCTTTCATTTGCAGAACCCCCCTGAAGAAACAGACCAGACTACTGTTCTCTATTTCTTAGGGGCCTTGAAGAAACTCAAAGACTCACTGTGTCTTTGAGGGCAGTCAATGGACAGCCCTCCTCTGTACATATATCCATAAAAAGCTCCATACCAGTGAATCCCTCTTTTCTCGGTTCCAGAATTCTCAACCCTACTCAATTACCTTCCTATAGAAGAGGTATAATTAATCAAGGTCTCACGCAAACATGATCTCCTAAAGCACCCACAACAGGCCTCCCCTGACATGAAATAAAAACCATGTATATGGTGTAGCGGCAACAATGCATTCCAGGACAGCCCATACAGATGCCACAATAGAATGCCTTCGGATTTCGCCCTCAAAAGGGCTTTCTGGCTTCGTATTCTCGTTGGTTTCTTAAGAAGAGCCAATACAGTGAAGAAAGCAGCAGCCCAGCGCCCCCCCCCCCCCCCCCACCCGGTAAGCAGACTTCACACAAACAAAAGACCAGGCGTGATTCTGAGGCCAAAATGGGGTCCCTAAGCAGAGGACCGCTTCCTTCGGGGGGCGTTCGGCTTTCTGAGCGGCCGGGGAAATCTCCTTTATTTCAACTCAGAAAGTGAGAAAAATCAGACAGAGATGTGACGGGAAGACTCGCGAGTCTGGGATAAAAAGCCCAAGCAATACCATCCCCAGGGCAGCAGACCCAAAAGGCGATTCCCGCCCAGAGCCTAGAGGAGGAAACGGGGGTCTGGAGACAGAAAGCCCGGGACTGAGCGCTGGGAGGGACCTGGGGCAGCGCGCACACCCCCGCCCCGCTCCCTGCGCACGCCGCTGGGACCCCGGAGCATCCCGACGGGGCGGCGAGCCATCCCGGGAAGGGGCTTACCCACTTCCAAGCACCGAGCGCGGCTTCCGCTCCTGTCCCCGCGGCGCGGACAACTCCTCCCTCTGGGCCGCACTGCAGCCGCTCCGCCAGGTCTCCTCTCACTGCAACGAGAGTCCCCGGCCTGGGCCAGTATTTAAAGGCTTCTGCCCGAGAAGGCGGAGGCTTCATTCCCCAGTTGCCAGGCCCTCCTGGACTCCTCTCTCCGCCGCAAGCCTGCTCCTCCTCCCGCCACACCAGGCCCGGGGTCCAGGGGCGGGGCGGGGCGGGGCGGGGCGGGGCGGGGCGGGGCCAGTCGCGGCTGGGACTGTCAGGCCACGCCCCTGTCGAGCCTGGGCCAATCCGCTCTGTCCAGGTAGGCGGCCCCGCCCCTGCCGCGAACAGCTCTGGGCGGAGCTGCGCGCGCAGCAGTCTTCTCTGCGGGGCTGGGGCCCTGGCGCGTCCCCGTCTTGGTTGTCAGAGGCACTGGGACCACGGTTGCGCCCCGCTTCCCTCCGTGTCACCGGGTGCTGGCTAACTGTCAGCGCCGAGGTGCTGCCGCATGCGCACCAGGTCCGCCATGCTCCGGGGCTACGAGTGGGGAGACTGGTCCCGCGGCAGCCCGAGGGGACCGGAAGGTCGGGGCCCCCCTTCCGGTCTCCCCAGGAGCCCGGCGGGCCGGCCTCGTCTTTGGCCCGCTAGACGGTGGGTTAGACGGGGCCGGTCGGACGGGGCCGGCGGCTGACTCCCCTCCCACGCCCTCCAGGCCCCTGGGGCCGCCTTACCCTGCGGGCTTGCGGCCTAAGGTTGAGTCAGATCCGGCCGGACCCGCCGCTTCTGGGAAGGAGATGCCTGACGTCTGGAGGATGCTGAGTCCTGTCGTGACTGGACCGCTTGGTGCCCCCGCCCCGATCCCTTGGGAGGAGAAGCGGGACACCCACGCCCTTCAGAGATGTTTTCTAGAGTTGAAGCTCCTGCCAAATGCAGGATCTGGGGTGTCTGTGCATGAGACTTAGCAGAATATGGCACATGTAAGTCCCGTGCATGGGGGGGGGGGGGGGTGAAATTAACATGGAGCCTGCCCACTTTTAATGTGGAAAGCAGTTCTGTTTCTCTTTCCCCATCCCACGGGCATTTCAACCTCAAATAAAAGCAGTCATGACATTTGGTTTCCCTCATTAAGAATTACATCAGGGGCCCTAGCCGGTTTGGCTCAGTGGATAGAGTGCCGCAGGGATTCCATTCAGGTCAAGGGCACATGCCTGGGTTGTGGGCTCGATCCCCAGTAGAGGGCGTGCAGGAGGTAGCCAATCAATGATTCTCATCATTGATGTTTCTATCACTCCCCATCCCTGTCTCTTTGAAATCAATAAAAATATTTTTTTAATTTTATTTTATTAAATCTTTATTGTTCAGATTATTACATTTGTTCCTCTTTTTTTCCCCCCATAGCTCCCCTCCACCCAGTTCCCACCCCACCCTCTGCCCTTACCCCCCCACTGTCCTCATCCATAGGTGCACAATTTTTGTCCAGTCTCTTCCCGCATCTCCCACACCCCTTTCCCCCCCAAGAATAGTGAATCCATTCCCTTTCTATGTCCCTGATTCTATTATAATCATTCTGTTCATCAGATTATTTATTCACTTGATTCTTAGATTCACTTGTTGATAGATGCATATTTGTTGTTCATAATTAGTATCTTTACCTTTTTCTTCTTCTTCCTCTTCTTAAAGGATACCTTTCAGCATTTCATATAATCCTGGTTTGGTGGTGATGAACTCCTTTAGCTTTTCCTTATCTGTGAAGCTCTTTATCTGACCTTCAATTCTGAATGATAGCTTTGCTGGATAAAGTAATCTTGGTTGTAGGTTCTTGGCATTCAACACTTTGAATATTTCTTGCCACTCCTTTCTGGCCTGCAAAGTTTCTGTTGAGAAATCAGCTGACAGTCGTATGGGTATTCCCTTGTAGGTAACTGAGTTTCTTTCTCTTGCTGCTTTTAAGATTCTCTCTTTGTCTTTTGCTCTTGGCATTTTAATTATAATGTGTCTTGGTGTGGTCCTCTTTGGATTCCTTTTGTTTGGGGTTCTCTGCGCTTCCTGGACTTGTAAGTCTATTTCTTTCACCAGGTACGGGAAGTTTCCTGTCATTATTTCTTCAAATAGGTTTTCAATACCTTGCTCTCTCTCATCTTCTGGCACCCCTATAATTCTGATGTTGGTACGCTTGAAGCTGTCCCAGAGGCTCCTTACACTATCTTCGTATTTTCGGATCCTTTTTTCATTTTGCTTTTCTGGTTGGGTGTTTTTCGCTTCTTCGCAATTCAAATCTTTGCCTTGATTCTTGCGCTCCTCTGGTCTGCTGTTGGGAGTCTGTATAATATTCATTATTTCAGTCCATGTATGCTTAATTTCTAGTTGGTTCTTTATCATAACATCGAGGGTCTCATTAGATTTCTTGTAGATCTCAATAACTTTATCGGCGGCTTCTTGACAGTTCTTGAGAGACCTTAAAAGTGTGGTTCTGAACTCAATATCCTCCATTGACAGTTTTGTCCTGTTTCTTTGTCTCCGCATTTTTTATGCTTTCTTGGTGCACCCCCTAGTGGTCTTTGTGCGCAGTCTTGTTGTAGTTAAGCCTTGATTGTTGTAGTTAATACTAGGGGGATTTGACCTCCAGGCCAACTGGCTGTGAGAATCAGCTGTGTCTGCAGTGGGAAAACTTCTGTCCTCTAGGCAGGTGCTAATCTAGCCTTTGCCTGAGGCTATCTGGCAAATGGCTCTGTGCAGGGCTTGGGCAGGGCGGGGCGGGTCTCACGGGATCAACAGAGCGGGTGGAGGGAGCATTTATGGCTGCTCTCAGTCCCGTCCTCAGAGGCTCTGCCTCTCAGAGTCCCAGCAACCGCTGCAAACCTTGGAGAGAAAGCTGCCCTCGCTTTCCGACCAATGCCAAACAGTCCCGCTTCTTTTGTTTGAGTCTGGGTCCCTAGAGGCTCGCCCAGAACTGGAGCTCAGAATCTGAGCCTCCCTCCCGATTGAAAACGACAACTGCGCCCTCAGCTACCAGCCCGCTCCGCGCGTACCTCCACACCTTTGTATTTTCCGCACTGCGCCTCCTCTGAGTCTCGTATGCTGTTCTCTTTCCTTCTAGTTGAAGAATTTCCCCTCAGCCAGTCTTCCTGTGGTCCTGGCCGATGTCCGTTCCGTCTTTTAGTTGTATTTTTGAAGTGGTTGTTCGAGTCAGCTAATTCTGGTGTTTACCTATGCCGCCATCTTGGTTTCTCCAAAAAAATATATTTTAAAAAAAGAATTACATCAGGTAACAATCTGTACTAGAAGTCAAAGCATTTTTAGATACATCATGAGGAGATCCATTAGGTTATAAAGACCTTAAAATACCGCATGTAGATGATGGTTTTCTTGATAGGATCATAATGAGGACTTTTAAAAAGCTGTTGAATGTTGACTAAATAAAATAATTTGCTGTGAATTGTATAAAGTGTGATAGTATATGTAGGCGTTGTACATTCTATGCAGTTAAATTCTATCACCCATCAAATATTTAGTGCATTAGACATTATCCTAGAGACCAAAGATGCAAAATGAATCAAGACCCAATTCCTTCTTCCAAACTCGCAGGCTAGTAGGAGACATGAACACATAAATAATTGCAATGCATATGAGTTATACTATAATAGGGGGTATCACTTTTAACTTGGCATGTAGATTTGTTACCTATTACAATTGGCTTTCTAATAAAAAATAAAATAATGCACTTTTCTATTCTTCCCCTTCTTATGAATTCAACATTTTTCTACCTATTATTCACTTTACATTCTTTGTTAGTATTTTGATAATCATCACAATCTTCACAGCAATCAGTAAAATCTCAGAAATTAAATCAGAATATCAATATTAGCTAGAATGGACCTTTGGATCTAGGGTAGCCATTCTCAAGACGCACTGACAGTCTTTGAGACCTTTTTAAGGGATCCAGGGGATCAAAACATTTAGAAGATAAAACTAGCCGTAACTGGTTTGGCTCAGTGGATAAGAGCTTTGGCCTGCGGACTGAAAGGTCCCAGGTTTGATTCCGGTCAAGAGCATGTACCTTGGTTTCGGGCACATCCTCAGTAGGGAGTGTGCAGGAGGCAGCTGATTGATGTTTCTCTCTCATCGATGTTTCTAACTCTCTATCCTTCTCCCTCCTCTCTGTAAAAAATCAATAAAATAAAATAAAAATATAAAACTAATGCTACTTGCTTTATTCACTCTAATTCTGTTAGTAACATATTGGAATTTGCTAGAGGCTCGTTGACATTGTAATATATTGAATGCAGACTTTTAGATTTACAAAACTGTCAAGCACGACCTGGCTGGTGTGCTCACTGGGTAGAGCATTCAAAGGGCCACAGGTTCAATTCCGGTCAAGGGTATGTACCTAGGTTGCAGGTTCCTTCCCAGCCCCAGTCAGGGTGCACAGGAGGCAACCAATCAATGTGTCTCCCTCACATCAATGTTTCCCTTTCTCTCTTCCCTTTCTCTCTCTTCCACTCTCTCTGAAAGTCAATGAAAAATAATATCCTTGGGTGAGGATTTTTAAAAAGTCAAGCAATCCCAATCTTACTAATTTTTTATTTGGCAATATAATAATTTTTCATTAAAATGTTACTTATGTTAACATGTAATTATTAGTCATTTTTAAGAAAATAATGTATTTTTCATAATTTGTCAGTTTTCATTTCTAATAGGGTAAATACCAATAGATATAAATTAACATGAAAAAACTTTTGGGGTCTTCAAAGTATAAATGTTTAAAGGAGTCTTGAAAACAAAGAGTTTGAGAACTTCTTGATGTATTTTCAAATTATGTTTCACGAATTCTAAGTTTCTCTGGTGGTGTGTCAGTCTGTGAGGAGAGAATAAGTGGGAGGTTAAAACAGGCTGGGTTCTGGGTTTCCTGTGTCTCCCTTCTTCAATTCAGAACAGTTCTACTGTTATCTGCTTTCTATATCAATTTTTATGTAGCATTTCAATTTATAAACAGGTTCCTCTTACAATTTAAAAACAATTCCTTATGCCCTAGCTAGATTGGCTCAGTGGGTAGAGCATCAATTTGCAGACTGAAGGGTCCCAGGTTCAATTTCAGTCAAGGGCACATGTCTGGGTTGTGGGCTTGATCCTCAGTGGGGGATGTGCAGAGGGCAGTCAATGATTCTCTCTCATCATTAATGTTTCTCTCTCTCTCTCTCTCCCTCTTCCTCTTTCTGAGATC